CATGGCCCAGGCCATGGCCCAGTGTATGGCCCTACCCTTGGCCCACCTGTTTTTTGTTTAATTTTGATGTGTAAATTGTGTCAAAATTATTTTAACGTGTTGAGTTCATATACGTTTCATATATATTATAAAATATTGATTTGAGCTCATTTCTAAAATACGAAATAAGTTTTGACCAGTCACCTGTGCGTTTTACGATTAGTACATAATATGGACTATTACATAAAGTACGAACAACCAAACAACACATGATCACGTGAGAGAATCAATGTCGGCCGCATGCCGCATGGCGCACAACTGCATGGTGAGTTTTTATCGTTTCTTGTAGCTTTTTGCTATCAATACGAATACGAGCAGATGCTTGTCTTGCAATTTAATGTTGAGAACTCTCTAACGTTTATAAACGTTTGAATTTTAGAAAATCGTGTTTAAAATCAAAAGATGAAGCGATCGAGGCGAGTTTGAAGAATTACATTTGGACGCTGTTTTTATGTTGAAATATTTACATATTTACACTTTACAGACTAAATAATTCCGAATATTCGAAATCCGCATAATTTTGCAACTTTGGGAACTTTTTGACATGTTTTCAAGTCTGTAAATCCTGTGTTATTTGTATTTAAAAGGTTTCGATCATCAATAACATAATTATCTAGTCTGTAAAGTGTAAATATTTCAACATATTTTAAATAAACAGCGTCCAAATGTAATTCTTCAAACTCACCTCGATCGCTTCATTTTTTTATTTTAAACACGATTTTCTAAAATTCAAACGTTTATAAACGTTAGAGAGTTCTCAACATTACTTTCGTTAAATTGCAAGACAACTAGCACCTGCTCGTATTGATAGCAAAAAGCCACCGAAGAAACGATAAAAACTCACCCCATTTAACGATGCAGTTGTGCGCCATGCGGCCGACATTGATTCTCTCACGTGATCATGTGTTGTTTGGTTGTTCGTACTTTATAGTAATAGTCCATATTATGTACTAATCGTAAAACGCACAGGTGACTGGTCAAAACTTATTTCGTATTTTAGAAATGAGCTCAAATCAATATTATATAATATATATGAAACGTATATGAACTCAACACGTTAAAATAATTTTGACATAATTT